CCTACACCCTAAACCACAAAACGGGCCCAGCACCCACAATGCCAGCCTCGGGCTTCGAGGAGCTCCAAAGCTCCGACCTCGTGGCCAATTTGCACTTCTCCGTGGATGCCATGCCTCCCAGCAGGGTCTAGGGCTTACCTGGACCCCAACAGTATGTAGAATAATTGCCTTTTGGGCTGTTATTAAAGGTTTAGGGCTATTATTTCACATACTTTTGGGGTCTAGGTAGGGTTTAGGGATATAAGGGTTATATAGGGATAATGGAAAATAAACTGGAAACTAGTATAATGGGTTATATAGGGTTCAGGCTTTAGGGTTTCGGGCTTAGGGTTTAGGGCTACGGGTTTAGGGTTGAGCGCCTGAGGTTTCAGATTAAGGGTTTTGGGACAGAGATTTTTAACTCCTGCGATATAGGGAACATAGGATGGTGCTGGATTTCCCTCATCAAGAAGATGTTCCGCTTTGAAGATTTCAGTGAGGACCAGACACGGTGTGCAAGCACTCCATAACCGTTATGCATGGATCATCGCAGCAGGAATGTGCCCATCTGAAGAAAACGTAACAACCTTTGCAAGGCGACACTCTGATCACGCTCCCGGGCCCAAAGCCCTAAACCTTCTGTTCCATCCAGCTCTAAGGACATGGTAGCTTGCGTAAAGGGGGGGCCTCACAACGTAGACCCCGATCCACTTTAAGTTTGATTATGGGGACCCATAATTTTGGGAAACCTCGACATCCAACTGACCTCTCCATGTCTCTATGCCTAGGACTATACGTCATAAGCCTACCGCTGTTCAAGCCCAAGGGGAAGCCCTCATGAATAAATCTTTCAACAACAAATCCTCTATAGAAACCACTCGTCACCTTACTTAATCCTGCTATAACCCCCATGCATTTCTGGCTGATTTAACTTTTGGATCGTTCTCTGGAGGTCTGGCACATCCAACCTCCAAGTCCCTCCCATACCGCCTGTCCAGCAAACGCTGAGCTGCTGCAGCAGCGATGCGACTGGCACGCACCACAAAAATCTCGCGAAGCAGCCTGTTGAATTTGGGGGTTGCTTAAAACGGGGCGTCCGTAGGGACCGTTGGATACGTAGGGATTATAAAGTGAATACCCTATAGGGATTATGTAAGGAAGATTTTGAGAGACGTCCAGGGCTGCAGCATTGCTAAAGCTTGCTTCTCATGGTTCTTGCCATTAGCATGGCCATGCAAATGCGACACGTGAGCGTTTGCAAAACGATCCGCGCCTAACTCTTGCATAGCATCCTGCTTACACAATCTTATGACAAGTAATGCTGCAGGTTGAGAGCAAAACGGTTGGTTCTTCCCCTGACTGCTAGTGATTCCAACTGGCCACATCCGCAGCTCAAGGCTCCTCAAAAACGAAGGATTTTTCGGATTTAGGGGTCTGGATTGGTGGAAATTCAAACAGAAATCATCAAGGTCCTAATTACCAAGGATTCATAAGCAGTTGCGTTGAGAAAATCCCACGAAAACTTCAGCTGTAATTCGAACTAATCTTCCTTCGCAAAGAAGGCTAACGATTCGCGATTCTTCTCGCTGCCACAGCATTCCTGTTGTTGCTAACTTGTTTTCCAATCTTGCATAATCGTGATCGTCACTTCTGCTACAGCTCGTTCTGAATCTTCTGCCCTTGATTACGAGTGGCAGTGGTATTGCTGTCTTCAAGCTGCAAGCCCCAAACCCTACCTTAACCTGAAATCAGGCATGCCAATTACTTCCTTCTCAAAGGGACAAATGGAAAAATCCCCCTTATACCTTGTGCAATGTTTGAAGCAATTGCCAACAGAGTCTATACTCACCAACACGTGTTTTACAAGGTTTTGAAATTCCTGGTGACCCTTTCGCATGATATGATATGGCGTGATGCTGATTACCTACAGCGTAGTATTGAATAGTCAGAATTAGATACCTTTGATTAGTGGGCATCTCGCATAGAAATATATTGCATGCATACCTTGTTGGCTTTCGGGCTAACAAGGCTTTGTTTCAGAATGTGGTGGGCAAACTGGGGTTGATGATTTTAGGGCTTGTGGTGGGGAGTGTCGCTAACATAGCTTGCTCAGAGATGCAGAAACAACATTTGTACTCAGAGTCAGGCCCATTGTGACTGGGTTACAAGTAATCAAATTACGCAAGCCCGAAACCATATATCCTCCTATGAACATGATTTCCACTTCATCTCCCTTTGATTCTCCACTACTGTAGGAACTAACAGTGTACCCCTATATGTCCCTACATGACCACTGCGTAACCACGTTTACCCTAGTATAACCCCTATAATCCCACTATATCGTTAATTAGGCCCCTATCTATGCCTATAGTGTCACATTCCCCAATGTCTAGGAGTTTCCCACAGTGTTTAGGGGTCCCCATTATAAGGATCATGGTATTTTGGGGTCCACAGTCGGGCCCCACTATTTCTGAAAACTACCCTTTAATAACCCTAACCGCTAAATCCCAAACCCTGAATTAAATAGTAGTTTCCATTTTCTTTTCCATTATCCCTATATACCCCCAATATATACCCTATAATAATCCCCCAATATGAACTATAAACAATATAACTCTAAACCCTAAATCCAAAACCCTAAACCCTTACTGGCTCAGCCCTCAACCCAGGGAAGCTGTCCGACAGAATGTCGAGAAGACCTGGGACAGCCACCTGACAAAGCCAAAGGAACCAAACGCGGTTTAGGGTATTAGGGTCTAAGGTTTAGGAATTATAGGGTATAAGGTTAATCCTTAAACCCTCTGAAGGATCTGGTAAATAAAGAGGCATACATGACTAAAATGAGGCAGTATTGGGCATGCTATGGTAGAATTATACCAAGATTATGCGTTCGGTGCATTGGCTGCCTTTGGTTCAAGCCGTGTTTGGAGATAAGGACGCTGGTCAGGTTTGGGGTGGTAGGGAGTAATCACCGGATCAAGGTTGGTTTAGACCAGGAGCTTTGGGATCAGGGTTTAGGGTTTGGGTTTTGGAGTTTGGGGATCAGGTGGTTTGGGACCTTCAGGTTGCAGGCTTAAGCTCAAGGGTTCAATTATTGGCTTCGAAGATACGGATCCCCACAACATCTTGGGGCTAGATGAACGAACATAAGGGATGGTAAGGGGATTGGGATTCAACGCGCGCACTCCAAAGAATTTACCATGTCCCCACGAAAATCCGGTCACAATATGGAATTCAAAGGTTCAAAGGGTGCAAACATGTTAAATAACAAGGGGAAGTGACCATAAACCCAAGACTACATATCCTAAACCACTAGATCGCCTAGACCCCTAAACCCAAAGGAGCCTTGCTACTCTTGGGATACCAGCGCCCACACCCCCGTTTTTATAGTATATATTGGGGGGGATTATTATACAATATATGTATTGGGGTATATAGGGATAATGGAAAAGAAAATGGAAACCACTATTTAATTCAGAATGACAAAAATCTATCCAGAAACTGAAGCCCTCTCAGACACAGCCCCAGAAAGCAATGGCAAGGACCCCCCTTAAGCCCTAAACCCTTAAACCCTAAACCCTTGAACCCTTAAACCCTAAACCCCCTTGAACCCTAAACACTAAACACACCAAAAGGGACCTCTCACTACCGGGCTTTACTGGAAGGCGAATTGCGTTACAGGGCTTTGACGGCTTGGTAATTTCCCTAAATAGGGGGAGCCCAATGTAGACCGAAGAATAGTATCATCCTTAGTAGAAAAACCTCCGAAAGGCACCCTTAATTCTGGGAAATCCCATTCTTGAGGCAACCCAAGAGATGGTTTTCACCATCTTGCTTCGCAACTGCCAAAAGAAGGAGGGCTCCTGAAAATCCCTACCTGGAGCCTTACAGTATGTAGGAATTAGGGTTTAGGGTGGAGAATCAAGGCCTTTTGGTCTGCTTGTGAGGGTTTAGAGTTTAGGGTTTAGGGTACCCTAAATCCTAAACCCCACTTTGCAGCCCCTAAATGAAAAGTCCTGACGCAAAGATCTGCAACAATAAAAGCCCCTTGGGGGTTGAAGCCATGGGTTAAATATAGGGAGAATGGAAAGGAAAATGGAAGCTACTATAATGGGTTAATAGAGTTCTTTAGCGTTTAATAAGGACCCCCCTCCTAAATAGGGCTTACAATAGGGATTCTACTATTAAGGCCCTTAAAAGGAGGGGTTTATTCATCATGGGTCTACATTAGGGTTTAGGGTACGCGGTTTAGGGCTTAGCAGGAATCCCCCAGGAAAATACCGTTGCATATTACGGGGAGCATGAACAGTTCAGGGGCTATTGTTCGGGGGAGCGTACCAGCTCAAATACACCTGGAACCTGATTGTTTTCTCACGCTGCCTTCCACCATTGTGAGTTGAGATGCGCCAAAGTCACCTGGCCACAATATGAGCTATAGTCTAAACTCCTAGTATCCCCCTTAATAATAACCCATATACTAGTCCCCTATATTAGGCCTTTTAAGGAGTTTAGACTATAGCTCATATGGACCTGTA